CCAGTGGCTGCGCTCCATGGAACTGCCTCAGAAGCTTCTAAGAGCGTCCTGTTAGTTTCATATCATTTTGCATAAGTGAACTAGGGAGGAAATGAAACGCATACGGCTGGAATTCGCCCTGGCTGTGCCTTCTCTGGCGTCCTGCTCCTACTCGCTGACACAGGGCCCCAGTCCCCTTTCAACTCCCTCTGGAGGGTTTTGGGAGTCCCTAGAAGGCTGGGGAGGTACTGACCCACCCTGACCTGCTGCTGCTGCCCTATATGTTCCTTTTACTGATACTCACTGAGCACCTGCCAGGTGCCAGACACTCTTCTAAGCACAGAGGGGTCAGCAGAGAACAAAGCAAATCTCTGGCCTCATGGGGCTCACATTCCAGTCTAGTTGGGGGGAAACAGCAGTAAATGGAAGAAGGGCTCCGTGGGCGCAGAGGAAATGCAGGAGAGGGCAGTGAATGATTGGGACAGGCTTTGCTGAGAAAGTGACTTTTGAGTGAAGACATAAATCAAGTGGGGGGAGTGGGCCAGGGGGCGTGGAGAGAGGCACAAGAGCAGAGGCACTGGGGCGAGATGTGCCTGGGGTGGCTGAGGCTTGCTGGTGTGCTGGACTGGAGAAAACCAGGGCGCAGTGGTGGGGGTGAGCTCTGGGGACTGCGGGGTCCCGATCACCAGGGGCCTCGTAGGCATTAGTAGAGACTCTGACTTTTATGCTGAGGGAGACAGTCGGCCATCGGGGGTCCATGCAGAGGGGCACAACATGGTAGTGTCTCCTCCGGCCTGTGGGTCTCCTCAGGCCCCACTGGGAGCTCCCCTCCTGCCCAATTCATTCCCGATGAGTCAGGAAGGTGGAGGTTGCCTCCCAGCCTGTGCATTGCGCAGGTGCCCCTTGGGCCCCACGCGTGTGGCTGTCTGGTAAAAGGGCCGTTCAATTCTCCCTCTGGCCTGTTTCTCCCCAGGATGCAGACGAGTGGCCAGGGATAGGCAGGAATGGGCTGGTGTGACAGCCTCCGGCTGGGCTGCCCGCTGAGTTCCCTGGGCCCTGTGCTATCTCTGCTGCGAACGAGCTCTCCCTTGGGGAGCCCTCAGCCCCCTGGAGATACGCTTCTCTTGAGTCACCCCCTCCGCTGGGCACACGTGTCCAAGTAGGTCTGAACTCCGGCAGGAGGCCACAGCCCAAGTCCGCTCCTGGGAGGCGCCTCATCCCAGGGTGAGGGACGTCCATGGGTCTGGCCCATCACCAGCTGTGTCCAGACACCCCTGGGCCCCTGCAGAGGGCCCAGCCAAGGCACTTCCCTGAGGCTTCTTTACCTGTCACCCCAACTATGTCAAAGATGGTCCTCCTTTGCTCACGACCATATGGTTCTGCTTTCTTACTGGACAGCAAAGGGAGGTGGGTGTAGGACCAGTTAAGGGCAGGCTACTTATCTGTGAACATGGAGACCCCTTGTCTGGGGGCTAGACAGCAGCATCTTCTGGGGTTGGGGACCTCAAGACAGGGCCATTCCTCTTCCCTGTTTGAGTTCAAGAAGTGTCAGTGGAAAAGCGCCCTGAGAGGGCTGCGGGGTTCCTGGCTCCTTTGCAGCTCACGTCTATTATGTGCAGACACTGCTAAGTTCCTTATGTGGACCACTTCATTGAATACTCACAAATGTTCTATGAAGAAGGTACTATTATTATGAACCCCATTTTCCAGATGAGGAAACTGATGTATAGGATAAGCTAGACTAACCTGGTAACCGGTAGAACCCAGGATTCTGTCTCCAGCCAGTGCTCTTAACTAGTCTTTTGGAAAGGAAAGAAAAATGGAGTTATCACAAGCAAGGTCTCCTTACCTGAAAGATGTTAGATGTAGAGCCGGGAGTCAGCACACTTTTTAGTAAAGGGCCAGATAGTATTTTCGGCTTTGTGGGCCTATATGGTCTCTGTCCCATTGACTCAACTCTGCCCGTGTAGCTCTGAAGCAGCCTTAGATAATATGTAGGCAAATGGATGAGACTGTGTTCCAATAAAGTTTTAGTTACAAAATAGTCCGTGGGCCAGATTTGGCCCCCAGAACATAGTTTGCCACTCGTGGTGCAGAGGAAAGAATGTGGGGTTTGGGGAAGCCCAACCTTTCTTCAATGCTCCTGACGAATTAGGTGACCTTGGATTAATCATTTAACTTTTCCATCTTTGGTTTCCTTGTGCCTAATAACTAACACTGTGGGTTACTTATGAATTAATTTATTTTAAAGTGATATATTGAGCCCCTCATAAGAGTTGCATGCTGGGCTGGGAGCCGAGGATACAGCGGGGAACAAGACCGATGTCCTGCCCTCGTGCAGCCCACATCCCTGAGCAAGACAGAGATAACCTTGGGCAAAGACGTCGGTGCTTGACCCTCGGCAGGAATTCAACAAATAGCACTTCTTCCCTCTTCGGGGCCCTGACTCAGCGTTCAGGACCCACTGGTTTCAGGGTTATTCGTAGCCACACTGAGTAAAGAGGTGGGAGCATGGGGTGGAACTCAGGACTGTCATTTGTTTAGAACACATTATTATGCAACACAGGCCTAATTGTGAATCATAATTTTTTTCATTACCTGATCTCATTTTACTTGGTAATACACATTGAGGTATGTGAGAGCAGTAAAACTCCATTTCTGTTAAATATTATATGATTCGGTTGGTTCACTGAGTTAGACTTTTACTACTCCCCATTCCAAATGAATGAGTCATACATCTTTTCAGAGATAACAAGGACCTTCAAGATCATGCAAGTCCTGTGCTCGCCTTCAGATACGCCTGCTAGGGGAAGACAAGCGTGCCCTGAGCTCCGGGATGGAGCTTTGGGCAGCCACGACAGTCCTAAAAGCTCTTGCTTTGTCGTAGAAAGGCACGCATAGTTTGCATTTGACTTCTTAATATATCCTAATCTGTTTAATGTATCTGCATTTCCTTCCATATCTCTAAGGAGAATTGGTAACCGAGACAATATGCCATATTCATCTTTGGGATTCTCGTGTGTCTCAGCCCAATGCCATGTAGAGGCAGTGTAGTGTAGCAGTTAGGACCCCTGCCTTGGAAACAGACTTGGACTTGTATGTCAGGTACTGTACTTCCTTCTGAGTGAAACTGGGCAAGTTTCTTATCCTCTCTGTGCCTCATTTTCATTATCTGTAAAATAGAGACGCTAACAGTTCCCACCTCACATGGTGAGATGAATGGATATGGGAGAAACGCTCACAGCAGAGCCGGGCTCACGGTAAGCACTCAGCGGGTGCCAGCTGTGACAGTTGTCCCAGGAGGAGCATGCATCTCCAATTGGGTGTGTCCCCAAGACACGGCCTGGAGAGGAGAGGCGCTCGTGTGTGTTCACCTGGCCCCTGTGCGTCCAGCTCCATTTGTACGTCTCGTGGCGTCTCTCGCTGAGGTCTCCAGCATAGACGTGTTTGCTCTGCCCCTGGGCTCTCTAATTTGCAGGGAGCTGTGAAAGTCCCCTTCTCTCCATGACACCTTCATTCACCTCCTGTGACGGGGCTTCCTCCTGTGGAAGGCCTCCCCGCCTCTCCCAGACTGGCTCTTATGAGAGACCCCGAGGAGGAGGTATAGTGAGAGCTGTGGTCTGTAGCTCTGAGAGCCCCAACCTTGACCCTGGAACCCTAGCCCTTGCCTGTCTCCAGTCTGTATCTTTAAGTTACCTGGTGTAGGTGTGCCATGCACCCTCTGGCTTCATATACACAGCTGAGGGGACATTGGCAGTGTCTCAAGCCTGCCTCTCCTGTTGCTGACCTGTTTCTGCTTCCTTCTGGTCTCTGTCCCATTCCAGGCTCCTGGCTCCGTCCCTTACGTGCATCATATTTACAAGCCGGGAAGGCGCCATTCGGTGGGCCTGGAGTCTCTGCCCAAGTTCTCTGATTGCTGACCTTGAATGGCTTACCTGACTACCTGTCCCTGAGAATGAATTCCAGAGCCCCGGCCGGTCATCCTGTGTCCTGGCCAGACCTAGCTCTTGTCCCATAAAAGAGAGACTTAAATGACCTGTCAAGCTTCCTTCGCTGTGACCACCCTAGTTCCCATTTATTGTATTCTTATTCTGAGACATATGCTGGTCTAAGAGCTTTTTATACATTATTTTGTGTGATCCTCACGGATCCCAGAGGTGGTTGGGCGGACATTAATATCCCACATACAGGTGGGGAAATCGAGGCCTAGAGAGGTTGAGTGTTTACTTGTGGTCAGGCAGCCACTGAATGGTGGAGCAGGGATTTGAATCTGTGTCCATGTGAATCCAAAGCCTCTGCTTGCCCTGTTTTCCTGGTAAGTCCCAAGGAAGCCATGAGCTCTCCTTGCCTGGTCGGGGGCTGCCCCCACACAGTCTGCCAGCGGTGCAGTGCGCAGCATGCATGGCGGGCTCAGAAGGGTGTGGCTGCCCCCTGTATCTGGTGGGCGGAGACTGGAAGCCTGGGAAGCAGTCTGGCAGGGGGTCCTCACAGCGAAGTAAATGTCCACTGGTGGGCCAGGCAACTCACAGCAGGACCGGACAGTGGAGAGGGAGGTGGGCTGGCAAGAACTGGGCAGGGGCTGGACCCCAGCTGGGGCCCCTGGTGTGGAGCAGGCTCAGGCCTGGCAGGGCTTGGGGGTGCAGTCTGGGGAGAGAGAAGCAGAAGCCCCGTTTGAGGGCTGGGGCCAGCACCTCCGGTGGGAAGGCAGACTGGGAAAGGAGGGAGTGCTGACAGCAAGCCACGGGCATCAGGGTCACATCCATCAGCTTCTCGGCAGACCCTGTCAGGTGTATTCCTATGTTCCTTGTGCCTAGTGGTTGTTGGGTGGACGAATGGATGAATGGCTGGATAGACGAGTTTCAAGAAGTGAGAAGATCCCACTCTCCCCTCCTCCTGCCCCCAAAGATGGGGATAAGATTGTTCTACCCAAGGCGATCGATGGTGAGGAAGGGAAAGGGGTTGTCATGGCATATGGAGGGGTGCACTCTGACCCGCTGTCTCCTTGTCCCTTCTTTCTCCAGAGGCCCCCGCCAAGCCCGAGGAGGGAGAGGCCGAGCCCTTCACAGACTCCTCCCTGTTTGCACACTGGGGCCGGGAGCTGAGCCCTGAAGGCCGGCGCGTGGCCCTGAAGCAGTTCCAGTACTACGGCTACAACGCCTACCTCAGTGACCGCCTGCCCCTCGACCGGCCCCTGCCTGACCTCAGACCCAGCGGGTGAGCAGAAGCAGTGGCTGGACCCTTGTCGACCTGCCCCTGGGGAGAGGGGGTCCCCACAGTGCTGGGGACAGAGCCAGGCCTGGGCGTCTGGACTCCTGGGTCCCTCTCCTGCTTCAGCCAGGGTCTGTCCGCTCGGCCTTCACTGAGCAAGAAACGGTCCCCCCCGCAGCCTCAGTTTCTCCATCTGCTCAGCAGGAGAAAGCTTTCTTCCATTAGAAATTTGGAGGATTAATAACCTAATTTACTCCTTAAGGGCCCTGGAATCATCTGGCATTCCTGTTAATAAGTCATTTTAACCCAATTAGTTGCATTTTTATGAACAATTATTTTTTTCCTGTAAATTAGTTTTTTAAAGTACATCCATCTTCGGGGGCTAACAAGTCATTACACCCGACAGAGAAGTCTGTCTTGACTTCTCTCTTTGTTACAGAAGATGTTCCTTTAAGGTTCAGTTAGAGTTTTTATTACCCCTAATGAATAAAAATGTGGGCACGTACCACAGCTGAGAAGATCTCATTAACTTCATGAGCTCCCCCCACACCTTCTTTTCCCCACTTTCTCCTTATTTTAAAATTTTCCTGAAGCTGCAAACCACAGTGAGCTTATACCTGGAGTTTCAGGAAAGAGCTGGCTGCTGGGTTTGGAAGCTCTGTTCTTTTAGGGAGGAGAGTTCAGTTCAGGTCCATGAACATTTATTGAGCACCTGCTGTATGTGGTATAATCAGGAATGGTTTTTCCTGGCCCGGGGAATCTGGCTGGGCTCTGGGATGAAAGGACAGCTGAGGATCTAGAAGGGGAGAGCGTGGCATAGTCTAGCTCAGGGATGGAGCAGCGAACACAACAGACAGGAATCCTTGCCCTCATGGAGCGTGCATTTGAATTGGACAGGGAGAGATAATAAACAAAACAAAAAAGTCAAATACGTAGTGGGTTGGATGTTGGTAAGTACTACGGAGAAATGTAGAGTAGGAGAGGGGGATAGGAACAGCCTGGAAGAGGAGGAGGGATTGTAACTTTTAATGAGGTGGTCAGAGAAGGCCCCACTGAGAAGGTGGCATCTGAGCAAAGACCTAGAGGATATGAGGAAGCAAGCCATGTGGATACCCAGGGGAAAACCTTTCTAGACAGAGGGACCAGCAAGTGCAAAGGTCCCGAGGTGGAAGCAGGCATGGCATGTTTGAAGAAGAGGCAGGAGGCCCGTGTGGCTAGAACAGAGCAAGCAAGAAGGCAGTAGTTGGAGACGAGGTCAGAGGGGCAACAGGAAGCAGATCAAGTAGGGCAGTGGTTCTCAAACTTGGCTGCACATTCGACTCATCCGGAAGCTTTAAGATAATCCTAATGCTAGGGCTGCACCCAGACTCATTGGGTGAGAGTTTCTGGAGGTGGCACTCAGGATCGGCACTCAGGTGCTGCGGGCGTGCGGCGAGGTTGAGAAGTGCAGAGAGGGGCTCTGCAGACCACTGCGAGGCACGTGGCTTTTCCTCTGCGAGCTGGGCATCCAGGGCAAGAGCTGAGCAGATAGTGATATGCTCCTATGGCCGTTTTCAAAGGCCCCTCTGGCTGCCGTGTTGAGGACTGAAGGGGCCAGGGTGGAAGCAGAGAGGCCAGAGAGGAGGCGTCTGCGTGTCTAGGCGAGAGGTGGTGGTGGCTCGGACCGTGACGGCAGGTGGCAGGTGCTCATAGAGGTGTGGATTCTGGGACCATCCTGAAGGTGACTTCAACCTAGTGCCACAGCCCTCTGGGGGAGCTGCAGTGACCACTCCTGGGGGGAGAAGCAGGTCAGAGGTGGGCAGATCCTAGAGGCTCTGGAGAAAGGGTCTTCAAGAGGAGTTGGGGCCCCAGAACTCCTGCAGGGGCCTCGGCCGTGACCTTGGCAGCACAGGAACTGCAGACTTTGCAGCAGCTCTGGTGCAAAACACAGGACCGGCTCAATACATCTTTGTTCCAATAAAAGGGGAAATGAGAAGGAAGCCAAGGAAAGGGTGGGTCTTACCCATTGCAGCTCAGCGAGAGCAACCCCTGGTCTTTACACTGGGCTTGACTTGTTGAGAACGCCCTTTCCATCTGGCCCACGCCACCGTGCAGTCCTATTTAGAGTCGAGGAAGCTGAGGGGCAGAAAGAGCGAGTGTGAGATCTGAGGTCATGCAGTTGGATAAGTAGCCAGCTGAGACTCGAACCCATGTATCCAGATGCCAGATTCTGGCCTTCAACAGCAGCCCACAGCTGGGTTTGCTTCAACTGTGCACAAGACTAGCTGAGAGCTGGCTGACGCTGGAGCCCCCTCACCCTTCATTGAGAGGGGTGCCCTGCGTGCTGCCATTCCTTTCTGCGTCCACAGGAAAGGAACAGGAAGTTGGGGGGTGGAGGGGCCAGAGGCTGTGTGGCCTTTCTCAGAAGAGCAGGGTCCCCAGTGATCATGCCCCAAGGGGAGCACGTTTCGGAAGCAGCCCAGCCTGGATTTCCTGCGTTTACTGAGAAAGGGTCTCTCAAGGACTCCAGGTGGGCTGAATCCTGCAGCTTCCTCCTGAGCTGCTGGAGAGAAGTAAAGTCATAACAGAAAGACCTTCCCTCTGCGCAGAGCTTTACAGCTTGTGGAGCTTCGACACCTCCCCTGTGGGGCAAGGTGATTTCTGTGAGCCACTTGTTTGGTTTTTTTTTTTGGTGAGGAAGATTGGCCCTGAGCTAATATCTGTTACCAGTCTTCCTCTTTTTGCTTGAGGAAGATTGACCCTGAGCTAACAACTGTGCCAGTCTTCCTCTAGTTTGTATGTGGGATGCTGCCGCAGCACGGCTTGATGAGCAGGCGGTGCCTAGGTCCACAGCTGGGATCCAAACCTGCAAACCCTGGGCTGCAGTAGCGGAGTGCAGGAACGTAACCACTATGCCAATGGGCTGGCCCCTGTCAACTGCTTTTTATAGACAGAAAAATGGAATCTCTGATAAAAGGCCAAGCTGCGCCGTCTCACTCCTCCACCAGGGCTTCCTGCAATGGCTTAACAATGGGGTTTCTTTTTGCTCATGGCCGTGGAAGGCTCTGTGCAGCTCTGCTTTAGCTCTCATGCCAGACACGCACCCAAGACTGGAGAGCTGTTGGTGGACCACTGGAAACAAGTCTGTGTTGAGGTCCAACAGGGCCTCTCTGTCAATTTCCCTAAAAACATGCGTGCCTTGTAACAAGGTCATTGCTTGGCTTCTGTTTAACTCCTTTTGGAAACATCTTTTCAATATCTTTACTATCATCCTATTCCAAATTACACTGACAAACATTTATATAGCAGGAGCCATGTTTTCAGGGACACGTTTGACACTTTGTTTATATTAACTTGTTGACCCCTCACAGTAACATTTTGGAGTATGTTCTTGTCTAGGGAAAACGTGCCGTTTTCCTTTACTCACGTGCTCACAATGCTTCTGACACTGATGTGAGGGGTTTTCCCCACACCAACCAATTCTGTGACATCTGCTGGGTGTCCTGCAATGCATTTCAGTTTTGATGCGATCTATCGGGAGTCAGCATCAGATCCCACAAGCTAAGGGCTCAGTCCCACAAGACTGCCCCCACTTCAGATGCCAGTCACAAGTCCCAGGGTGTCACCTGTGCTTCTGACCAACTGGCTATAAATCAGGGTTCCCATGGCCCCTCCTCAGATTTAATCATTTTCTAGAATGGCACAGGACTCAGGGAAACACACTTACCAGTTTCTCATAAAGGATGTAATAAAGGGTACAGCCAAACCACCAGATGAAGAGATACGTAGGGCGAGGTCTGGGAGGGTCCCCAGCACAGGAGCTTCTGCCCCGTAGAGGTGGGCTGTACCAGCCTCCCAGCACCTGGGTGTGTTCACCAACCCCAAAGCTCTCCGATTCCTGTGCTTCAGGAGTTTTTGTGGCAGCTTTATCACGTGGGCTTGATCAATTATTAACTCATTTTCCAGCCCCTCCCCTCTCTCCAGAGGAGTGGGCGTAGGACTGAAAGTTCCAAGCTTCTCGTCGTGGCGTGGTCTTTCTGGTGACCAGCCCCCATCCAGGAGCTCACGGGAGTCACCTCATTAGAACAAAAGGCACTCCCATCACCCAGGAAGTTCCGAGGGATTTAGGAACTCTGTGTCAGACGCTCCTTTCACTCACGAAGTGACAAGGGTTATAGGATCTCTGTGTCAGGAACTGAGAACAAAGACCAAATAGTAGCAAGAACCAGGGGCAGAAACTGATATATGTCTTTCTTACTATTTCACAGTGTTATTATTAGTTTCCATTTTACAGAAGAGAGAACTGAGGCACAGAGAGATTGTATGATCTGCCCAAAGTCACTAGTGGCAGAGCTGTGGTTTGAACCCAGGCAATCTGGCAATGGAATTTGTATTGGTAGCTGCCACTGTGCTCAGTGCCTCGAGGTGTCAATTTATGTTGCTCTAATGGGGACGAAGGGCCTGCTTTCACAGTGGGTTGCCCTGAGCTGTTCCGTTAGGACGGTCTGCCTCTCAGTGTTGGGAAAATTGTTTTAGTGAAACTCGAACCTGTTATCAAGGGCAAGACAAGTTGGGATTTGGAGCAGGGTGGGTGGGGGTGCGGGCGGCATCTGGAGAGCAAGGCCCACGCCGAGGACAGTCTCCGGAAGCATCGCGCCAGGTGCCTCTGGCTTCAGTCCCAGCCCCTGTGCTTCTTCCTCCTGTCACCTCCTGTTCGCCCTTGGAGACTTCTGCCCCTGGAGACGTCCTTGGATTCTGCACTTTGCTCTTTGTATTCTTGGCTTTGCTCTTCCACGTTCTAACCCTGACGTTATGCTTGGCTTCATTCCTGGACCAGAAAGCGGGTGTTCCGAATCCTGCCCTGCCCTCTCTCCCATCACCTCTGGCCAGTCCCTTATTTTGTCTCCTTCTTTCTCAGTGCTGAAAGATGTAATCTGACCCACCTTGTCAGCTGGCTGAGAGAGGACTGAATTGTGCTCAGAGCCTTATACACAGGACAAGATGTAATCAGAAGGAAAAAGGTCCGT